TGATTTGTTCTAATGGTGTTTGTAAATAGGATATCATGTCCACATCTTGTACAGCAATTAACCACTACGAAGAATGTATGCAATGTGTGAATTAATGAAACTGTCCTACCAATTTGATTTGAAACTGTCTCATTGCTATTTGTTTATCAATAAAATGATTTAAAAATAAAAAAAAAAGATTATACTGCCTAGTGGCATCTTAGCCGTGTTTGTGAGTGTAAGTATACTCTATGGTCCTTGTCTAAAGAAATCACACACACTCACACACACACACACACAAATAAATAAATAAAATAAAATAAAGATGAAATCACAGAATAATGTACCCATCAGAATACTTTCTGTCATTAAGTGGTTCATGACTCATAATAGTGTAAGTTAAAACACATTACTCTGTAATCAAAAGGCATCAAAGTAAGTTGGCTTGATGGATGGATAGACAGATCTATGATAGACAATGCAGAAACTATAATAAATGTTCACCATAGAATCCAGGTGGTGGCTATGAACTGGTACTCACAGTATAATCATTTTAATGCATTCATTAAATTTTTTTTTGAAAAATGTAATGTTGTAGAGGAAAAACACTTACTCTGCCTGTGCTCAATAATACCTGTTTCAGATTTCACCTCTGCAAAAAAGACAAGGCACTCACCGAGCCAGCCAGATCCCGAGTTGGGTATGCACAGGTCTGTCTCCGCACTGGGCAACACGAAGCCCACCACAAACACCTCGACACCATCTGCCATGAGTGCCATGCCCAGCACAAAGAACAGGGCCCACTGGAAGCGGCCATGGCCACACTCCTGGATGATCAGCTCGTACTGCTGGGCTAGCTCCTCCTCATCCGCCCGCCTCTCAGATTCCAGCTCCTGCCGGTCCTTGTACTCGTCCCTCTTGGGCTGCCCAGCAGATACGATGCCATCCTTCCCTTGGCTCATGCTGGGGATGCCCTGGTACTCCCCTTCATAGATCTCATCCTCCTCGTCATGGCCCTCGGTAGCCTCGCTGGAGCCTTCGTCTTCATTTGCTTCCCCGTCGTAGGTTTCTCCCGGCGGGTCATAGTCCTCATCCTCATCCTCATCTTGGAACCGGCTGTAGGACCTCTGGGTGTACTCGTCCTGGGCCCGGTCCACTGCTTGGTTCACTTTCTTTACCGTCTGCTTCTTCATCTCTCTGGCGATGTCCTTAGCCCCCTTCATCAGGGAAGTCCTATCTTTGTAAGCTTCTTCCATCTTCTCTCAGCTGATGACCACAGAGAAGGTGCGACTTGTTCTCAGACTGTGTTGTGTGGCTCAACTCACAGCATGGTGCATGTGGGGTCCCAAACAGAACTGCAAGACAAGAGCATAACAATACGCATTATTCCCTTCCATGCCTTTTTACCACGTATCTCTTGGTTTCTTTTCACTGACCCATGGACCAAGCCACAGAAGGAGCTTCCTTGGTCTCCCTGTGCATGCATGTGGCCACCTGGATCCCTGATGACATGTGGCCAGCGGCTGGAGTAGCTGGGGCATGGGTTCGCTCCTGCTGTTATAAGTCCCCAGCTAGCAAAACAAGCACAGTCCTGCATGGGCCTGAGTTTAGGAAGATGACAAGAGAAAATTAAAGGTAGTGATTCTAA